TGTAACGAAATCATGCAACGGATGTCTCCCCCTACTCGGTATAATTGAACGTTGTATTGTTTTTGTGTATTTAATCGTAGATACGTTTGGTTGAAGCATTATCTTTGGGGATTGATACTATAATATTCACAAAAACTCTAAAAGAAAATTTGCAGAAACGTTTGCGTTACGTCTTGAACTGATACTGGAATTTTAAATTTCAAAAGTTAATTTTCATTAAAGAAAAAAATAAAAAGTATAGTGGGATTTATTTGACAATACGATATGAAAACTTAAGACATACATTTTACATTATATTATCAAACACCTTTCTGACTACTGATTAATTTATTTAATTATTTAATTTCTAATTAACACCATTATTATTATCTAATTTCACTATTATATCACACGCTTCTTCTTATTTCGTTTTGTATCGCCTCGTAACTAAAATTCGTTCTCGTACTACTAACTCTCGATCTCGCGACAACTATTTGTAGAGAATAGCTGTGTTTTAGAATGATCCAGTATATGCCGTCTAGAAACTTGGTCTTCTTTGCCACTAAATATGTTGGGTTGCCTACATACATGTGATAATGTCCTATATACGGCAGGTTTTCGGTTTTAAATCCATTGCATAATTATAATTTTTTGTTTCAGATATGAAGCATTAGCTAGCTATCTGGATTTGCACCCAGCACTAGCTATTTTACGAACATAATTTTATATAATTCACGTTGAAACGTTTTAATTACTAAATTACATATATGCAATGTCAATATTGAGTTAAATAAAGTCTATTAATAACTAAATGACCACGATCCCATTTGTCCTATAAGGTGTCCATCTTCGTCAAATGTTGCTAATGTCAGCTTGTTTAGTTTATTACATAAGGATGGAAAATTAGAGGTGGCGTATGTACCCAGACCTAAAAAAATAGGATTCTTGAGGTTTCCTTGTGGATATTACATCACATAATAAAAATATGAAGAAGCTTAAAATAAAAATGCTTATTATTTTATTGTTATTTATATACATATGTATTGCACATTGTACTTAAGAAATTCCTTGAGCTTTCGTTATTTTTTCCAAAATGTCCAAAATACTTAGGCAAAATCAGTAAACTACCTAAGTACGTAAAAGCTAGAGAAAAATAACTTCTCTAATACGAAGATCCATTATTTCAAAAATCATCAATCAAATATCGTTTTTGGTACAAATTTGAAATTCGCAGACAGTTTCGACTTTACCTGCTGCCTTAACACAGCATATCCTGACGCGGATCACGATTTCGATCTTGTTGGATCTCATCACCGCGTCGCAGACAGTTTCGACAGAATACTGACCACTTCGAATTTCTTTGTTCGATTATGGTAACGTGCCTATCACGTGGTGATGAGCTACGCCTGGATTCAGTTCAACCTGTAGATATCCATCTAATTAAATGGACCTTGTTGAGCATATTGAATTCCACCAAATGTAGAATTGTACTGCAGATGGCGTTTACCGCGCCATTTGTAGAATTTCATAAAACGTGCTGTGTTAAGGGGGCAGGTAAAGTTGGTCTGTGTTCTGTCGAAACTGTGTGCGACACGCTAATGAGATCTAACTTCGAATTTCTTTGTTCTCTTGTGATGTTTCTTTACTCAATAATTTTATTCAAAATATCCCTGTTTAGACTCTACCAGGATGGACTATTTTGACGTATTTTTTTTTTCTGCACATCAAGAAAATATAGAAACTCCGTAGCTGCTAAGTTTGGCTACTCAATTATTAGGTCTGACAAGAACACTTATTTTTAGTCAAAGCCCAAACTAATTGACTGTATCGACTGTACCTAACGTTTTTTTTGTTTAATCCTAGGGGAGACTAATGCGCACAATCAAAACGCCGAAACATATGTTAAATTAAGTTAAGTAAAGTTAGGGTTGGATATATGCTAGTTTTCAGGTTTTCGGGGTTTACCTTCAAGCCTAGCCATGTCATTCACTAGAGGGACTACGTATCGACCTTTGACTATAAAATATATAAACGTATACATATATATAAAGAGCCAGTGACGGAATAAGAAAATAGGGGAACATAGGCCGATTTTGTTGATGGTTGTTGTTGTAAGTAGAATGTTTTGTGCAAATTATCTTTAACTTAATTTTTATGCTACCAAAAACTAAAGTGAATGTATGAACTGAACTTTCTTCTGGTCAATACTCTTGTATTTATTAGTAAAAGGACAACGTTTGGATTGGAAATTTTATCAAGGTTACTTGATTTCAATTATGTAATGTGAAAATCAATATAACTCCTGGCAGTTAACATTTATAACAATAAAATAAAATTTATCTAAATTATCCAACAGGGTGTCCAATCAGAAATTAAAAACTAAAAAAATAAAACGGTGGAATCAAGACGGATTCTCATATACAGAACCGGTTGACGGCTGTGTCGATTTAGTTTGGGTCAAAACAATGGTTGTTCCACTTGTGAAAGACGATACGACCGTTTTCAATTTACACTTAAGGGACTGGGGCAGCTCGGTGTTAGGATTGATCTACAAGAGATTTTAGAAAAAAATCTACACAAATATTCCTGCAAAATTTAGATTAGTGATGAACAAGGAAGACCAATACTGTCACAGTCGTTCGGTTTTGATGTTGGTCTTGCTAGTATAAAGACAGTCTTGGTCTTGCCTTTTCGTAAGACCTAGACTGCTAGACTGAGACCAATTTTGCTTATCACTAATTTAGATGCAGCTTATACACGCGTGCTACCTATGCACGCGAAAATACAGTACTCTCGCTTAGTGTAGTGGATGGAAATAGATTCAGTAGGTATATTAATTTGTTTATTATTCGAGTTCACATAAATAAAATAACCGCATTGAAACTATTTAAATTTGAAGTTATTATCGACTAATATCCCAAAAAGGGGTATGGAATTTGTCTTCTTCTTCCCTTGTCCTATATTTACAATGTACCCAAGATTTCCTAGTTTTCTATTGTTTTTTTTTGCGAATTTCATTGCACACCAACATTATTAACAGATTTTCAACAGAACTACCCAATAAAACATAACCACATTAATTTCGAAACTAAGGCAAATTATTAACAAAATTTAATAACTTATAAGATATTGAAAAACAACCCCGACACAGTCATCGCCCAGTCCTACATATTATGTGAATTGGCGTGCATTCAGCAGTCTTGACACTGCCTGCACACAAACATAGCACAGTCGACACTCGGTCCCATTTGTGTGAGACCATCTGTAATATCACAGAAAGGAACACAGATTAAGTTAAGTTTTCAATCACAGTTTAATTTACACTTCTATTAAAATCAATCATTTAGTTTATTTTATCACATTTATTGATTTTAATTTTCAATTGATTTTAATAGAAGTTTTAACATGTTTGTGTGATATTACGATTCGTAATTTAAATTGTAACTGGAAATTTAACTTAATCTATGACTTTTCTGTGATATTAATCGGACCGTTTTATTGAATTTTTAATTTCTGACAATCCGAAATGTTGACCTTTTGCTAATAAATTTAACAATGATGATGAAGAGCGTCTAGGCTTTTCTGCCGTGGTCCAATTACGATTGCAGACGTTTCGCCTTACTTAGTAAATGACATCTTCAGTGCTTCACGATGTAGTATTAGCGTCAATGCAGGGTTATAATTTTGTTAATAATAATATTTTCCTTATACAAATAATTTTATTATAGTTTATGACCTAAATCTATTTCTTAGTATTTCATATGTTGATATTTTCCAAATTTTATTCTCTTATTAGTTTCCTACTTTAATCTAAAAACGTCCAAGACTTTCAGCTCCCCCTTAGCCAGTTCTCCTAATAATTTAATTTCTAAAATACTAATACAGTTTTAGCGTTTATTTATTTTCTATAGTGTTTACTAAGAGGTGTAAATTTTAGGTTTAAAATGCAATTTTGAAGCCAAAAAGAAGTTCCATTTGGGATTCTTTTGTTGATATTAGCGATGCAAGTGCTAAATGCAAAATTTGTAACGAAATATTCGCGAAAAAAGCGCACGACCACTGCATTAAAGAGTTACCTAAAACCATTACACTTCCGATTTCGCATCCCCTTCCGATTTCGCATCCCCTTCCGTTTCCGCTTCCACAAAAAATTACTATTTACTTCTGTTTCCGCTTCTGATACTTCCGTAAAAAAACATAAAGGCAAAAATAAAGGAAACAATATTCAACAGTAAAAAACTTTTCTTCCAAAGACCTATTGTAGGGAGCAACTTATTGATAAACGAATATTTTAATTTTTAAGTCATTTTAAATTATTCTTTGAATTATTCTTTGAATTATTCCTATTACAATTTATAAATTTGATATGCTTAGAATATAGGTATAGATATGATAAATATAAATGAAAAATGAAACTACTCCATAGTACGAATTAAGTCAATAACTAATGTCTTTTGTAGATTTTCATTAATAGCTCTACAAAGTTCGAATAGATCAATAATTTGGTGGTATTTTGAAAATCACATCAGTAAGTAGGTGTAGAAAAATTATTTTTCTTAAGACAGTAATGTTTTTTATTTTTCAAACAAAATGATGCCTGTAGTAATTGTTTACTTACTTGTTTCTCCATCATTAGGTCTGTCGTTTTCATCGATAGCTTTTCGTTTAATTTGATTTACAAAGCCACTTATTAAGACATCCATGAGGCCAGCTTGTCTAGAAAATACCTGTAAAATCTTTGAAACTCTCGTTCCGTTTTCAACCACCATAAATTGTAGGAATATACAAGGTAAACAATCAAGATTGTCTTCTTTTGATGGTCGAGCATGTTCCCAATTAAATTCTTCATATTTAAGTCCCAATAGAATGGTCTAAAATAGATTATGTATATATTGTATGAGATTTGAAGGAAAAACTGGAAGTCATTAGCTTTTCAGTGGAATCACCTAACTTTTGTTTGGTAATAGTAATGACAAAATAAGTTTCACATTACATATTATAATTAGGTAGATATGATTTTTAAGGTACTTATCGTTAGTTTCATGCGTAAGAGTTTAGGCATCTCATATATGTTTTTATCTAAATTTGTAGCATAAATAAAAGCCCTTTGTCTGGAGAACGCAATAACTGTTAGTATTGCCAGACGACTCTGAAAAAGGTTACTGATTTGTACGTTTTTTTTAGTAATAATAATACTCCACATTACAAAATGAAATTGTAGACACCGAATACAACTTAGATAGTGTATTTTTCTTATGGCAATATTTGAAGAAGAATTTTGCATTGCTAAATATATATGAACAGCCTTACGAATAGAGCTAATTGACAGTGGAAAATATTATCAATATTTCTCCTTAACTAATACATAGTTGGCATAAAAATCAAGGAAGACTAAAGATATAAAACAAAGGATAGCACAGAGTCGATTAGTGTTTTAAAAAAAGAAGTCACTTCTATGCTAGCGAACGGTTAATTTTGAAATTATAAAAACATTGTTAAATGTCCATGTTTGGAGGATGACTTTGTACGGATTCGAAACATAAATAGTGGAGACGCGGTGGAGCAGAAAAGGTGACAAGCGTTCGAAATGTTGTTTTCCAAACGAATTTCAAAGTTCTCTTTTACCGAGAAGTAAATCTGCAATACTAGATATTGATGTGTGAACGTTAAAGTGTACGATTATTTCAATTTCCTATCTTTTGAACATTGTATGATAACGGTTTACAATTTTATAAGAACAAAAACATTATGGCGCTTGGTCAACTAAACAATGAATAGAAAAGTTATAACTTTTTACTGGTAGCTAATACACACTGAATCGAACTATGTAAAATAGACAAACGACATGCGTCAATATTTGATTCAAAAGATAGCTCGTAGCCAACGGTTTTCAATTATTTTCCTCCTCTATCCAAGTCTTTACAAAGGCAAGAAATCGTCAAGAAAGTACCTACGCAATTTATGTCGTCTATTACATAAACTCCTTTGCTGTTAATTGCCACAAGAACAGGAGTGTCTTGATGCGTTAAAAGGCTCATAAGACCTCGAACGGGTTGTTCTATCTGCCCTTCAAAAAAGGCGGAACTAAAAAAATAATAGTTTATATTTTTAAGAAATATCTTTTTAAGAAGGTTAAAGACCTCAGAATAAAACCATACCTACCCATAAAATGGAAGTGACCAACAAAAGTCCAAATATTTTCTCATTAGCTTCCTGTTGTTAGCTCCAGTGGGAATACGTTTAAATTGTTCCAATAATCGAACTTCTGCTGACGTTTTTGAACTAATTGGTAGCCAGGTCCAAGTGGCACTTTTCCTTACATGCTGTGGCAAATATTTCGCTTGTTCTTCTCTGAAATATTGTATCGTGTGAATATGGGGATTGTAAGGTCCCAGTTCTATTCGAGCTTGAATTCCACCTAACATTATGTAATGCGAAATTTCACACGGATATCGACCTTCCAAAATGTTATCCCGTGCTTCTTCGTATAAAAGTTCTATTATCTTTTGATCCCTGTCAAAGTTAATATTAAAACAATAAATGACAAGTAAATCATAAAATACTTGCTTAATTTTTTCTTCTACACTTTGAGCAAAGAAAACATTTCTTTGAAGATATAATAAAGGCTCATCTCGCTTTAGGGAATTGCATGAGCCATGACTGTATTTTTCTAAGAGTGAAACCCATTTTTGACGAATTCTGTACGGTTTTTGGGTAGGTTTCAGTTGTAAACCTAAAACAATTTTTTTTAATAGAGTGCATAATCAAGAAATCAATCATAATCAATTTAGAAATTCGAAAAAGGTTATTAAAGGTGTATGTTTGGAGTACGGGTGCAAAATATGGACAGTAGACGCGGCGGAAAAGAAAAGGTTAGAAGTGTTCTAAATGTGGTGTTACAGGCGAATGATGAGGATACCGTGAAAGAGAAGGTTAGAAATGAAGAGGCATTAGAAAGAATAGGAGAACAGAGGACTCTATGGAAGTTAATAAGAAATAGGCGAGATAGGTTAGTAGGACACCTTTACAGGCATGAAGATCTACTCAGAGACATATTAGAGGCAGAAACGGAAGTTAGGAGGGTAAAAGGTAGACCTAGATTAAATTACTGTTAGTTAGTTTTAAGAAAATGTGAAGATTAGTTCAGGATAGGAAAGAGTGGAGGTGCGTGTCTAACCAGTCTTTGGACTGACGACCTTATGATGATGAATCAAGAACTGATCTAAATCAAAGAGAAATTAATTTTAAACTTACTTAAGAGAGGGCTACACATCCACAATGCAAATACTTGAGAAGCTAACGTCCGATTTACACCTAATTCTTCAGAACTAAAGATGGCTTGACAAAGGAAGTCAGCAGAAGCGGAAGAATTGTCTTCAACTTCCATAAAGAATGTCATTTTGTTATGTAAATATACACAAACCGGCGTAAAACGTTCTTGCGTTTGTTCGTTGGTTTTGGTGGTAGTTGTCGTAGTGGATGCTACTGGAACAGCTGAAAATTTGACACATCTGATTAAATGTACGATTTCTTAGCTTTCCTTAATATTAATCATAATACAATAAATGAACTATGAATTATTTCGACAAAAATAAACTTAAACTTTATGTTACAAAACATTCTATTAAAGGCCACAAAACTTAAAAATAAGCTTTAGGATGTTTCATTCTATTAATGCTAGTGGGTGCACAGTTCCACCGATAGTAATTCTACTTCTGATGCAAATCCGGAGGATAGATCGAAAAGTTCCCATCAGTCATTATTCTCCTTTTACAGAAATCATAGGAATGGGTAAGCGGTAGTTGGGGGGAAAATGAGACGGATTTCAGAAATGTAGATAAAAGTGAAGTGAAATATTACTGCCCCAGCATTTACCTGAAAACTACAGAAAAACTTGGAAGCAGAGTGGCTGATCTTTCTTTAAAGCATCAACGTTCGAAAACTATGCGGAAAAATATCTTTCTGAAGAATAACTACACAAAAAGAACTGCATTCTATTCTACTGACCCTATCAGTCATGATTTTTATCACATTTACCATTACTAGTTGGGAATTATGCAAACAAACGGGTTAATTTGATAAATTTATCATATTTACTAATGGTGATTATGCACAATTACCGGTTATTATATATAATCCACCAGTTTTAAATACTTTTACCGTGGCATATACATATGTCATGTATTATATACTCCTTAATTAATTTAACCTTGTAAACGGCCGATTTTAAATATTTATTGTTTATATGTAAAGTTTTCTAGTTTTTTGTTTTAAAGAAGTAAATGAAGAAATTTGCAAATTTTAAAGCGTGATCACCTATGTGGCGGAAAAAACGCATATTTTTTGAAAATATTATTTCCTAAAGCATTCTTTTTCAATCAAATTTATTTTACTTCAAATATTATTTCAATTCTTTTTCAATTTCTTATCTTGTGCATACCTTGGTTTCCTCTCAATCTAAACTCTAAACGCAAGAACATTTTAATGTTAATGAAGGGAAATGCAGTAATATAATTTAATTACCATGCTGAGAATTGTTTACTTCTGTAGAATTACCGGCGAGTCTATTTTCTTCACAATCGGAAAATTGTCTTCTACTAGACTCCCACTCACAAGGAAGCGAGGAATAACCTGCTGACTGTTCAGCTGAGCACGTTGCAAGCCCAGAGAAATTTGCGTTCGTTGGAAGAACTCTTTGAGAAACGGAGTACAGATTTCCCTGATTTGTTGAAACATTCTCTGGAATATATTCCTCATGTAATCTAAAATAATCGGTAATTAATTACTTGCAGTGACCAATTTTTGGTTTTGAATTGCTTTAGCTACAAAATTAGATCGATTTGTTGATAGTAAGCCCCACATAAGAAAATAAAAAATTCAATTATTTTTCGGAAGATGTTGAATTCCTAGATGTAAATCTCTATTTACAAACACTGATTAAAAAAGAATCCTGGCTTAAGAAACTTGTAGTACCTACTGATAAAAACGAACCGTAGGTATTAACATAATACACGAATAGAAGAATTATTGTTTTCATTTTTACACGACCTTTATCTTATTAATATTTTAAATATACTCTTATCGGGCATTGAAAGTTTTAATACGTATTTAATCCTAAAAATTTAAATTTATGTTATACCTTTTTTCTTATTAGGTAACGAAAATATTTTATTTGGTCTGTAAGTAAATATTTAGTAAAAGATGATTTTGAGTACCATGAAAAACTATTAACTGCAAAGCTGAATTCATTATCCAATTTTTTATATTATTTGTTAAAATTTTAATTTCAATATCTGTCTGAAATACATCATTTCGTTTATACTTTAATCCGGCGCTGATGACTTTCAGCCACCTATCCAATGTTCAACAGTTATCCTACTGTGCGGTTGCTATAGAAAGTTGTAAAGATATCAACGAACTTTAAAAGTCA